AAATATAACATAATATAAATAATAAATATGATAAATAAGAATAAAATAAACACAAAAATAAGAAATAAAATAAATAACAAAAATACAAAAACAAATATATTCAAATAAAAAAAGAAATAATATAAAAAAGAAGAGAAAAGAAGAAAAAGATAATATAATCAATTATAAATATTATATGATTAATATATAATTGTAATAAATAATAATTTCATATGATATAGATATAAGATATAAAAATTAAATAAATAATAATAAATGATAAAGAAATAATAAGAGAAATGAAATGATATGGTAATAAATAAAATATATAAAAGAAAAGAAAAATAAAATCAATATAATATAAATATAATAATAATAAATATAAAGAGAAAGAAGATATAAAATATAAAAATATAATCAAAATAAAAATAAAATAAAGAAATGTATTCATGTATAATAAATTATATATAAATAAAAATATATTCATATATAAAATAAAATATAAATAATAATAATATCAAACTAATAAAATATGATAAATATAAAATATATAAATAAAATGGTGATGATATATAATATAATAATAAAAATAAATATAATAATAAAATATATAAATATATAAAAATAAAATACATAAATAAAATAATAATAAAAATCTTGACTTACATTGAATCAAATTTCATTTCTGAATCATTTATAATTCAGAACAATTAATCATAAAATGATATAAAATATAAAGAAATATAAATGAATATAGAATGATTATTTAATTTACTTTTTTATTTTTTATTTTTTTTAGGAGCAAAATAATAAAAACTATTATTTTATTGATTCAAAATATTTTGCCCAATAAGTAGAATAATGACGAATATTAATATAAAAAGAAATGTTTATGAATAATTAAAATTAATGTAAGAAAATAGTACATTTGATTAATTAAGAAAGTATTGATTACATTAAATGATAAATTAAAGTAATATAGTATTTGTAATGATAAAATATCAACAATTAAACATATAATATTAAATTACAATGTAAATAAGAATATATAAATTGAAAAGTATGATTTAATAAGAGAATATATCTGGAGATGTGATAAATTAAATTATAAAATAAATATAATGAATGGAGAAGAAATCAAAATGGTAAGTCGAAATAAGAGTAAAATAAAAAGTAATAATTAAGTTTAATAGAAATATTTTCTATTGTTCATTATTCAGGGAAGATTAATCCCATTACTTTCTTTAAAATTGTTTGACCATTAAGTATTAGTTTATTCTTTACCTTGTATTGTTGAAATGTGAAAAATTCATTTATTTATTCATTTATTTAATGTACAAAAAAGTATTTCAGATACCTCTGATTTAAATATTCATCATTTAAGTTATTATCTAATTTTAATGAGTATTAAAATTCTCCTTTATTTTCTTATTTTAAGGAGAATATATCATTATCATTATATTGTTTTGATTAATTTTCATTTTAACATCAAATATAACAACAAATACTTTTTCATTGATAATATTTATATTAACAAATACACTTGTATTCTAACTAGTAAATAATACTGTCATCTTTATAAATAAGTACATTTTTAACGCTAATGATATTCAGCCATCATAAATAATAAACATTGATATTCTTACAATGTTGATTAAGATGTTTTCTAATCAATGGTAATGTCATAAACATATGATAACTGGTGATTCAAAGTATGGATATATTAGGATTCTGCTTAGCGTTTCTAATGTGCTACATTCGAATAATATCAAAATAAGAATAGAAAATAAAAAAGTGAATATTGTATGGAACATTAAATAATTAATAAAAGTGAATAATTCGTAAATAACAAGATATTTATATAGAAGACAAATGAGAACAATAAATGATAAATGGAAGTGATAAAAAGATAAATATAATATTTAATAATAAAGTAAAAATTGATAGAAACCATTAAAATAATAACACAAAACAATAAACTAAACTAAAAGTAATATCAATAACAACAATAAATAAAATAACTAATAAAGATAAAGAAAGAATAAACAATGAATAATATTTATAAAACAATTTAAAATAGTTGTAAAAAATATAAAAATTAATAGATATGAAATACTTAATTAAATAATAATGAAATAATTGAGACAAAATATATAGATATAAAAGTACATCATGAAAAATATATTCAAATAAATAAAGTAAAAAAGAAAAATTAGTTTCCACTGAAATTTTATTAATTTTTATTAAAAAAAAGTTAATTTAAAATGTTTTTTTTATTCAATAATTAATTATCTCGTCTTTCTTCTTTTTTTCTGCCCCCACTTCATTTAAATACCCTCTTTTAATATTCTTTTATCACCTTTCAGTTCTTCTTCACACCCAGATCCAACAAAACAATAAGGTTCTATTTCCTTAACAGTTGTTGGTATATTAATTGATGTTAATGATGAACATTTTCAAAAGCAATAACAAGGCAATTTACTAACTAACGCTGGAATGTTTACTGATGTCAATGATATACAATCACTAAAACAATGCATTCCTATTTCACTAACTAACGACGGAATATTAATTTCTTTTAATGAAGTACATCTTTCAAAAGAATTCCATCCTAATTTAGTAACTAATGATGGTAACATAATATTAGTTAATGACATACATTCATAAAAACAACTGTCTGCTATTGTATTAATTAAAGATGGTATATTAATAGATATTAATGATATGCATTCATTAAAACAACTACTTCCTATTTCAATAATAGTTGTTGGGATAGTAATTGTTGTTAATGATGAACATCCTGAAAAACATTCATTTCCTAATTTAGTAATTGTTGTTGGAATAATAAATTCATTAATGTCTTTCTTTTGTACTTCTTTTCCATTGATTGTCTGTAGACTTTCTGGTATTTTAATGCTAATTAATGTTGGTTCATTCATAAATATTCTTTCTTTACTAACAAATTGGAGATTATCTATATTCATATTTCGTAATGAATCACATGCAAGAAAACAACAACACTCTATTTTAGTTATTGTCGTTGGGATAGTAATTGATGTTAATGATTTGAATCTAATAAAACAACTGTCTCCTATTTCTTTGATTGTTGTTGGTATATTTACTTATTTCAATTTATCACAACCTAAAAACTCATCAAGTGATTTAACTTCTGATGGTATTTTGTTTTTATACTTCATCATATCTGATTTGGTATATGCAATATTTTCACAAATGTTCCCTTTTTGTTTTTCTTCTAAGTATGTTGAATATTTTAATTTATACCATATTACTTTTTTATTTATTTTCCCATCTTCAAATATTTTATCCTTTCTATCATAAATATGAAATGTTTCAATATTAGAAAATAATTTTCTTGAATGTTCATTTAATGGAATTGGATTAAAATGAAATCGTTCTATATTTCCTTGAAATCTTTTAATTCCAATTTCTAAATTAATAAAATCATTGATGCTATCAAAATATTTTGATACTATCATTATTTCATTATGTCCTAATTTCATTCCTTTCTTTATCATTGTTTATTTTTAATTTAAATATTTTATTAGTTCTTCTTTTCCTCTTTTTCCTTCTTTTTTTTATTTTTTCTTTCCTTTTTCTTCTATTTTCTTTTAAAAATTAAAGTATATTCTATGAAGATGAATTATAATAAATATCTTTACAAAACAAATTTTATGGTAAAAGATAATTATTGTTATTTTTGTATCAAAGATAGCATGTCAGAGACACCACACACTTCACTAAAATATTATCATCATTCAAATCACCCAGTTATGGACTGGTTATGACGTTGCGTTTGGTTAGAAACACCTTACCCAGTATTAAAAGAATAGTAGTGTTTATTAATTACAATGATGGGATACAATTGATAATAAAAGAATGGGTATTTATAAAGATGGTATTATTACTTGTTAGAATATAGGTATAAATGATAATATAGGATTATCAAAGAAAAAGTTTTTGGTGGTTGATCCTAAAAAGAATATTAGCCCAAGGCAATGGTAGTAATTATATATTCTCCTTAAAATAAGAAAATAAAGAAGAAATTTGATATCCATAGAAATTAAAAAGAAATTAAATAATGAATATTTAAGTAATGAATGTCTAAAATACTCTATTCCACATCAAAAACGAGAAAATGAAATTCTCGTAGTTCAACAACTAAAATCAAAGAATAAGCTAATAGTTGATGAGTAAATACTTTTAAAGCGAAGGGACGGGATTAGTTAATCTCCACTGAGCAAGGAACAATAGAAAATATTTCTATTAATACTTAATTATCTACTTTTTATTTATAATTTCAATAAAATTAAAAAAAAATTTGTGAATAAAAACGAAAAAAATTTTTAATATGTTACTTATTTAACTTTAGTATTATATTCATCTCTAGATATTCCAAATAAAAGTAGTGTTGAATTAACCGTCATGTTAGAGATATGGGATATTAGTTAAATTGCAATAAACAATTCTGAATATTATAAAATCTAATTATGAGAATATCTAATATTTACTTTTTTTTTAAAAAAGGAACTTCACAAAGAATAAAAAGAACTTATAACTCAACTAACAAAAATACTTTATTAGTTATGGGAATACAAACAATGATAAATACTTTACGTGATTTAGTCAATAAAATACCAGTCATTAGAACAATACTAAATGGATCATTTTTAGTGATATTATTATTACCTTTTGTTTTTATTCCTGGTGCTATTTCTGCATTTTACCTTGTTGTTTTTTTATTAGTTTCTCTTGGATTTTATATCACGAAAATGTCAGTACTCAGAGTGTTATCATATCTTGTTGCTTGTTATTCAATTTTTCATTTTACTGCTAATATCATCTTCGTGTTTAGTGACTCTGACAACTCTTTTGTTCTCTTCTTATGTGGACTAAATTTTAAGTACTATGGACTTGTACGTTCTTGTCTTCATTTTGGCACTGTATTGGTATTATTCTTTTTTTCATTTTTATACTGTCTTACTAAAAAAGTTTCATGGCAACCTATTCCTTCAAAATTTGCACCTGCATTAACTTCATTAATATTGTTTTGTTGTTCATTAGTTTTAAATACATCACAAGGAGGAATACTTCCATTAGTTATTATGGTTATTTCTACAGTATCATTCTTTGTACCAAAAAGAATCCAAACATGGATATTTATTCCAACATCAATATTATTAAGTATATATTTATTATGTTGGACATTATTTACAGTATATTCATGGACAGCACATGAGTATGGACTTATTAATGATCTAACATTAAAAAATAAAATGAAAGACATTTTTGAAACAATAGGATTTACAACAACAACATTAAATAGTTGGGTATTTTCATGGTTAATGTTTATATCTTATATTTTTGTTTGTTTAAATTGTGGAGGGATTTATTTATTATTAATATCTAATAAAACAAAAGAAAAGTATAATGGATATGAACGTTTTCAATCTGATGAAGGAGAGAAAGAAGAAAATGAAGAGACAACAATGATTGAAAAATCTGAAGATATTAAAGAAGAAAACAAATCAATCTGGAATAAAATGGCAGACCATATGAAAGTAATAATGAAACAAATAGTTTTAATAACAAAATTATTAATTCAAATAACAATTGATTGTGGGTTATATGTTTCATTAGGAATTATGTTTTGTGTTGGGTTGGTTGATATTAGTTTTCTTGGATTTTGTTTTATGATTATCTCTATTTGTTTTGTATTTATTCCACCATATTATAGTAAAAAAATGTGGCCATTAGTTATTGTATTTATTATTTTACAAATTATAACAGAAATTATTGTTCAACTACCAATTATTGATATTAGTACTATTCCAAGTTATATTGGATTAAAAAAATTTAATGATCAACCAACAGAAACTTCAAATTTTGATTTAAAAAATACTATTTTAAGTGGAACACTTTCTAGAATTATTTTATTAGTTATTGCAATATTACAACATGTTGCAAATAAAATTGGATATAAAATAACAACAAATGCAGATAATGTAGAAATTATTAAATATTGTTTTTCAAAAATAGTTGATTTTTGGGGAATTTTTATTTGTTGTTTTGTTATTGCATTTGCAGCATTTTTTGAATCTATTAATATAGAATTAATGATGTATATTATTGCGTTAGGAGTATTAGTTTTAATTCAAATTCATTTTAGTAATTATAAAAAAATAATAAGAGTAATACTACCTATTTATGCAATTATATTTTTATGTGTACTTATTGTTCGTTATGTTATTCAAATGGATGTAATTATTTCTGATGACTCACAATCAGAATCTCCTCTAATTAATAGTTTTTGGGATATTTTTACCAAAATGAATCAATCAGAATTAGGACTTGTTAAATATAATTCTTTATGGGAAAGATTACTTGGATTTTCACCAAATATTATTGTTATTGTTATATGTTTTGTTGAAAGTCGATTATTAATAACACTTCCAAAATATTTAAAAAATGTTCGTCAAACAAGAAGAGAAATACGAAAACGAAAACAAGATTGTAATAAAAATCACGAAAAAGAAATAGAAGAAGAAATAAAAGTTCCAAAGAAAATAAAAGAGATTTCTGATTTATTTATGAGATTTCTTTCAATTTATTTACCACATATCTCAATTATTTGTGCTATAATTTTTGCAGCATATCCAACAATTTATACTACACCAGAAATTGAAACATGGGATTTACTTCATTTTTTATTATTTGCATCAATATTAATTGCATTATTAATGAAAAAAGGATTTAATGCAGCATGTATTCCATTATTATGGGTATGTACATTAAGTAGTTTAATATTAATTATTCCAAACTTTCATACAATTAATGATTTTATTAATCAATCAGGAATTTTTAAGACAGAAGAAACAAAAGAATGGTTTTATAAATTAATAGGATTAAAAACGTGTTATGAAAATAATGAAAGAACTGAATTATGTGAAACATTTGAAGGAATATATTATCCCAAAAGTTGGGAGTTATTAAAAGAATTTATAATAATATTATTTATAATAATATTATCAAGAACATCATATTTTTGGGGAGAAAAATATAAAAAAAGGAACACATTAGTATTATTTCATTACACTGATATTTCAAAAGAAAAAGAAGGATATTCAATAAATAAAATTAAATATTATATGTCAAACTTTTTTAGTGTATTTGGATCATTAATTGTATTAATTGTAATATTATTATGTTGCGCATTTCATTCGAATGATATTATATGTATATTTTATATTAGTTTAGCAATAGGTGGAATTAGATTACCATATAGTGTAATAACAAAAATTATTCCAATTATTAAATTAATATTAGTCATATTATTAACAATTAATTCAATTTGGACTATTCCATTAACAGGTGGACCAATTGGAAATTGGCAAAGATGGAGTAATTGGGATTGGGATATTGATCAAACACTAAGAAGATATATTTTATTAGTACCAACAAACTCAGGAATAAAATTATTATTATCAAGAATATTTGATGCGTTATGTATATTTTTAATAAACAGATTAATATACAATTATCATGAAGGACATTCACATGATATTTATAAATTTATTTCACCTTATTATTTTCCAAAAGAGATAAAAACATTATTTGATAGTTTTATTAAATTGATATTAAAAAATATTAACTTAATATGTAGTATTATTATTATTTTATTAGCAATTACTAGAAAAGATATGATTTCTTATATTTATATTGGAATGATGTTTTATGTTGTGTTTAAAGGAAACTTTTTAAAACAAAGAAAAATATGGATAATTATTCAAGGAATAAATGCTATTATTTTAGTATTACAAAATGTTATTGTTTTATCAAATATGTTAAATTATTTCATTTTAAATCAATCAAATAAAACAATCACTAATTTTATTACTGTTCTTTTTCAATTATTAAGAGCATTTGGATTAAATACAATTGCAGGAAAAGAGTTTTATATTAATCTTATTATCTTCTTTGTTTTATTAATTAGAATCGCATTATTTAAACAATTACCTGAAGTATTTAAACAAATTAAAGAAATTGAAGAAGAACAAAAAGAAATAATATTTTCAAGAACAAGAGAATTAATTGATTTAGATAGAGATAAAATATTAATTGAATTAGATAAAGAGTATAATGATAAAATTATGAGAATGGTTCGTTTAGAAGAGTTAAGAAAATTACGTAAAAAAGAAGGATTAAATGATTTAATAGAACAACCAAAAATTATTGAACCAGCTCAATTTTTATCAACTGTTCCTGACTCTTCTAGTTTCATTGAAAAAATTATCAAATGGACTAAAAATTATTTATTAAAAGGAATTGATATATTCATCCATTTCCTTCATAATAGAAATCTTGTTGTTCGTTTAAATATTCCAAAAGATGCAAATGAAGAAGAAATTAAAAAAGAATTAAAAGATACAATAAGACCAATCATCCAAGCTGTTTTAATAAATTTAGAATCAACAGAAGAAGAACAAGAACAAATAAATGATACAGAAATATTATTAACTAAAAATGAAACTTCAGAAACTATTTCAAAAAAAGAAAAGAGATATGAATTACTTCCAATTAAAAAACATTCAATTGAACCATATAAATATAAAAGTAGATTATATATGATATTTTGGGGAATTTGGTTTTATTGTAGTGAACAAACAGAAGTATTTATTCAAATATTATTTATTTTAAATCACTTATTTAATCAAAATATATTAAGTTCAGTCTATCCAATTCTTGGATTTTCTATTATTATGATGTGCAAAAGACCAAATCCATCTAAGATTATTTGGAACATTATTTCATGTTATTGTTTTCTATTAGTTTTTATTAGAATGTTAGTTGAATTACCTGGTTTTTGTTTAACATCAACTCGATATGAAAAATATGATGCGTTGTCTTATACAACTGATGTTATCCAATCTAAAACTTTACAATGTGATTCAAAACCTTTAACTTATAATCATATGTCACCAGTTTATTTAATTGGAATATATCCAGTTGAAAATTATATTACGTCAAGTTTTATTTGGGATATTATTTGTTTATTTAGTGTTATTATTCATATTTCTTCTATGAGATCACGTGGATATTGGAAACAACAATATTTGTTAAGAAGACAATGGTCTAACATTATTATTGAAAATTATAGAAGACAGTTAGTTAATAAAATTTATCCCGGTACTTATGGTGAACTTCTTTTTATTATTGAAACTATAACAAATTTTACGAGTGATAATTCTGATTATTTAAGTTATAAAAGACATGACTTATTTGTTGTTGATAAAATTCAAGACAATGGAATGTTATTTGTTAAAAAAGGTAATAAACAAGGATTAATTCATTTTGAAAATGTTCGTTTATTTGAACAACAAAATGATAAAATTAAAAAACAAAAAATTTGTACTATTAAACCTCAACACAAAGAAACATTTGATAATAGTTATTCTATTATAAGTGATGACGCTGATTCTCTTAATGATGAGTTTGATCTTTTAAAACAACATGAAGTTGAATTAATGAATCAAAATGAACTTGAAGTTACTGACGTTATTAATTTTGATAAATTAGAAAGTTATTTACATAAAAGAGAAATTTATTTAAAAGAACAAGATGAAATTTATTCTCATACAAACAAATATATTTCTTTTATTAAATCAATATATTTGTCAATTAAAAAATTCTTTACATCTATCACTAACGATCAATTTAAACGTGGAAGAGATCTTTATATTCCTATGTTTATTTGTGAATTATTATGTTTCTTATTCCTTGTTATTTTTCAAGGTGCTTTTACTAATTCTGAAGGTAGTTTTATCGAATTTTTTACTTCTGATTATTTACCTATTTTTTATGTTCTTGGATTATTACTTCAATTTGTAATGATTTTAATCGATAGAATTATTTATTTATGTAAATCAATTAAAGCAAAATTAATAATGCAATACTTCTCATTAATATTATATCATGGATTAATCTTTATTATTTATCCTTCTATTCTTAAAACAAAAACTCATTTATCTTCTATTTGTCTTACTATTTTTTATTTATTTAAAGTTGTCTATTGGACTATTTCGGGATTACAAATCAAATCTGGCTATTTGATTTTATCTTCTAAAAGAATTTTGATGGCAAATTATTCTTATATTTCTTCACTTATTTTCTCTACTTATTATACTTTACCTTTTGTATATGAAATTAGAACTATTCTTGATTGGACTTTTGCTAAAACTTCTATGTTTTATAAATTATGGTTAAAAGTTGAAGACATTCATGCTGAATTATATATGAATCAATGTGATAGAGAAATAGAAAAATCTAGAAATCATGTATATGGTGAATCTAGAGGAATAATGGAAAAATTAACTGGTGGTTGTATTATGATTGTAATTATGTTAAGTATATTATGGTTCCCTTTATTACTTATGTCATCTGCTGCTCCTAATTTTATTCAACCAAAACCAACAAATGTAGAAATTACTTTTAGTTTAGCTGGAAATGGAAAATTTTTTGATCAAGAAGATTCTAGTTTTACTGAATTAACAGGAGCTGAATGGAAAGTACTTGGACAAACTCATGACTTAAAAAAAGATGCAAGTTTATGGGTATTTGGTTGTTCATTGTCATTAAAGTCAATGTCATATTGGTCATTAACACCTGACAAAAAAGAAGATTTAAATACAACTCTTTGCAACGGAAAACAAGTAATGCTCAAAACTAAAATTTTAATGTCTCGTGAAGACTCTGCTGCTGTTAATACATTTGAATTAAATGAAAAAATAATTTTAGGTAAAAAAGAACTTCAAGGATTTTGTGATTTATTAAATGATAAAGAAAATAACTTCACTTTATCATTTTTCCCAGAAATTGTTTCTATGCCAACTCTTTCACAAACAGAACTACTGAGATATGACTCTACTAATATTTCTTTAATACCTAAAAAAGGTATTGATAATAAAACTCAATTATCTTATTGGTGGTTTGAAACAACAAATGGTTCTACTGTCGTTGATTGGTATGTCTCTTCTCCTAATGTTCCAGATACAGGAGTGATTTCTAGTTTAAGTTCAAAGGGAATTATTGGACTTTATACAGTAGTTGTTCTGACTCTTTATTCTTTAATTAAATCAGATTACTCTGGTCTTTCACATACAGTCATGTTTAAAAACCTACCAAATTGTCATGGTTTATTACAACTTTGCGATGACATCATTATGGCTCGGCAAGATGGTGATTTAAAATTAGAAGAAGATTTGGTTGATGAACTTATAATGATTTATAGAACACCATCTCTTTTAGTAGAAAAAACAAAAATTGATTAATTTTTTATTTCATAGTATTATTTTTGTACTTTGTATGAAAGTGATATAAATTAAATAACATAAATAAATGATTATAAAATTATTATAATTTATAATAAGTATGATTTGTTTATGTTTTTAATTTCTTGTTTGTAAATAAGATTTGTTTGTTAAAAATTATATTTATCATTGTTATGTTTTTGTTTATGAAGATGTTGATTGAAAATGTTATTGAAATATTTAAAAACAAGAAATAGAAGAGATAAAATAAATATTAAAATAATGAAGATAGAATATGAAATGATAATATCAAATAAAACATATTTAAATATAAAAAGAATATTATAAGATAGAAATGAAAATAATAATAAATATATACAATAAACAATGAAAGAAGAAAAAATAATATAATATCAAATAAAATAAAGAATAAAATAAATATAAAAGAAAAATAAATAAATAAAAGAAATATAAAAAGAAATAAAGAAATATAAAATAGATAATGAAAAGAAATAAAAATAATAAACAAAGAAATGAAAGATAATAATATTTTATTCATATTAAATAAAGAAATAATAATATAATAATATAAATAATAATAAATAATGAAAAAAAAGAAATAATAATATAAAGAAATAAATATAAAAAAAATAAAGAAATAAATTTAAATCAACAAAAATCATTTAATTTATTAATAATATAATCAAATAATTCATTAATGAAATTATTAATATTCAAATAATAATAATAATAAATAATAAATAATGATATTAAAATATTAATAAATAATAATATAAATACATAAAAATACATAAATTAATCATAAAATTCAATAAATATAATATTAAAAATATTTAAAACATATTACACAAATATTTAAATAATAAATAAAAGATAAACAACAATAAATTAAATAATAATAACAATAAATAATAATAATACAAAATAGAAAGAAATGATAAGTAATAATAGAATAAATAATAAATAATATAAAATGAATAATAAATAAATATATAAATAAAATAATAAAATAACAACTAAATCATAAAGATAATATTTTAATAAGAAAAAAAAATATTATAATTATTCAAATTAAATAAAAATAATAAAAGAAACTATAACATTAAAAATAAATAAATAAATTAAAAGAATATAATTAATGAAAATAAAATAAATATAAATGATAAATAGAATAATAAATAATAATAAAAATATAAAATAAATAATAAATAATATAATATCTATAACAAATAATATATTAATATATAAAAAGAAATAAAGAAATAGAAAATATAAATGAAAAAATAATTAAAAGAATAACCATGAAATAACATAAAGAAATATAAAGTATATAATATACAAATCATTAAATCAATATATTATTTAATTATAATTACATCTAAGACATATTAACATAATATAAAAATTAGAAGAAAACATAAATATATCTTCAATAAAATAAAATAAAACACATAATAATAAATCAATTCATATATAAAATAAAAATATAACAATAAAATATAAAATAACAAATAATAAAAACAATAAATATTAGATACATATAAAATATTCTATTTATGATACATTAATTCAATTAAACATAAATTACCAATAAAAATAAATATCAAATAATAATAACATCATAACAATACAAATAAAAGATAATCTATACTAATTATATAATAGTGTGAATTTTGATGACATAAACATAACAACCAAACATAACAATATAATATTCTGGTAATACAAAAAATGATAAAGAAAAAAATAACTATAATACAATAAATCTTAAAACAATAAAAACACGAATAAGTAAATAATGTCATTTATTAAAATGATTTTTTGTTTTTTTTTGATAAATAAATGATGATGAATTTTTCTGTTAAATTTAGAAAATGTGAATAATAAATTGAAAAAGATCTTCAACTATTCTTAGAAAAAAAAAAAAATGACAACCATGACATTCACTAAAGATCATTTAAAAAAAGAAGGGGATTGCCTTTACATTGGTTGTAAAAGGAGTGGGTGGAATAGTGATTGTTGTATTTCTCGAGAAGAGTTTAGTAATCAAATTGGTTATTCGTTATTAAAGAAAAGAGTAGAAAAATATCCCGAAGAAAATCTTTGGGGATACCGTTCAAAAATTGAAGGGAAATGGACTGATTATCAATGGATTAATGGTACTGTTGCCTTGGAGATGGTTGATGCTATGGCTGCAGGAATTGTAAATACTTTAAAAGTAAAAAAAGGAGAACGATGTGGTATTATAACTCATAATAGATATGAATGGTTTGTTGTTCAACATGCTATGAATAGACAAGGCATTATTCCAATTTTCTTATACGCCACATTAGGAGCTGAGGCGTTGGATTATATTGTTAAAAAGATGGGATTAAAATATTTATTCTGTGGAACACCAATTAAAACTGGATTACAATTATGTGAAATGAATCCAACAATGGGACTAATAACTTTTGATGATACAAATGATGTTCCTAAATCAATTAAACATTTTAATTATAGTGAATTATTAAATCAAGGAAGACAAAATCCAACTGATCCAGATTTACCAAATCCTAATGATACTTTTTCAATTATTTTTACTTCAGGTACATCTGGACTTCCAAAAGGAGTTGTTCATACACATCTCTCAGTAAACAATGCAATTTATAGTTTTATTACTGCAAATTGTTTTGATCCAATTAAATTAGCTTATAACAAGATTAATTATTGTTACCTTCCATCGGCTCATGTATTTGATCAACAAATTGCACTTGCCTTTATGTATGGGTATGGATCTGTTGGATTTAATTCAGCTGGAGTTGCTTCTATAGTTGATGATATGAAACATCTTCATCCAACATTTCTTATTGCTGTTCCAAGAGTTCTTCAAAAGATTTATGATAAATTCATTGAAACAGTAAGTGCTTCATGTATTGCAAATACATTATTTAAAATTGCTTATTATTATAAAAGTAATGCAATTCATAATAAGTCATCAACTTTAATTAATTGGGACACTGTTTTGTTTAATAAAGTCAAAGAAACTTTAGGTGGAAAGTTAGAAATTATTTTAAACGGTTCTGCTCCTTTAACACCGGAGTTATATGATTGGCTTCGTGTTTGTACTGGTGCTCAAATTTTCCAAGGGTATGGAATGACTGAGTCATTTGGTGGATTTTGTACTGCTGCTCCTGGTCTTCATGATGATAATTTAACATCTATTGGATCAGCTTGTTTAGATGTTAATATTAGATTAGTAAGTATTCCTGATATGGATTATTCGATTGAAGGAGAATCTCCAGCTGGTGAGATTCAAGTTAAAGCAGGACAAATTTTTAAAGAATATTATGATGATGAACAACAAACAAAAGCTGCATTTACTGATGATGGATTTTTATGTACTGGAGATATTGGTAGAATTAATTATGATGGATCGTTGAGTATTATTGATAGAAAAAAAAATTTATTTAAACTTGCACAAGGAGAATATATTGCTGTTGAGCCATTAGAAAATACATATAGTCTTTGTCCATTTGTGTCACAATGTTTTATTTATGGAGAAAGTACTGACACTTTTATCACTGCTATTATTGTTCCTGAAATGAAAGAATTTACAGAGTTTATGAAAATGAAATTTAACTTCGAAGGAACAAAAGAAGAATTACAATCCTTCTCAAATTTAAAAGAACCTAAAGAGGCTTTTAGACAAGAATTAGAGAAATATGTCAGAACAAAAAATGTCCCTGGTTATGAAGTTGTTAGGAATATTTATATTGAATTAACTCCATTTAGCGAAGCAAACGGATTGCTAACTCCTTCGTTCAAATCAAGAAGACCTCAAATTAAGAAAAAATATGCTACAATTCTAGCTGATTTAAGAAAAGAAATTCTTTAATTGAATTTGGCTTATATTTAATTCTCTCTTTTTGATGTAGTTGTTGTTCATATAATAATAAAAATACATTTTGTTTTTTTCATTATATAAAAGATACTTAAAAGATTCTAATATAAACCAATTCATAACACTAACAATACAAATGATAAAAAAATAATTGAAGCTGTATATTATTTGATTTAGAAACAATATAATAACTATTTTAAAATAAACAATTACAAATGAACAAATAAATATACCCTTTTTACATATGTCATTAATAAATATTTCATTTTTTGTTTCATTTTAATAACTTATATTAATCATTTTTTGTAAATAATACAATGACTATAAAAGAAGTTATCAAAAATAATATACTACTGAAATGATAATGAATAATTTATTTCAATATTTCAGCATAATTCGAGTATGATATAATTATAATATAAATAATTGTTTGAACTGTTAATGACCATTTATTTTTTTTTTAGAATTATTAAGTATTAATAATCAAAGTACAAATGTAATACTGGGAATATCAAAATATAATTTGCCAAGAAAAAATTTGATTAAATAATACCTATAAAATAAAAAAGGTTGAATATCAAATAAAAACTAACGTAAAGAACGCATATATAACAATAAAAATTAATTAATTATATAGTCAATTAATAATGAGACTAATGACAAACACTATAATTTAAGTTAACAAATAAAAAAAAAACATAATGAATAAAAATACTTCAAAGTTTCATTCATTTAATTATGTTATTATTAAGAAGATTAACATTCTAAAATAATGTAAAGTAAATAAACAATACAACAGAAATAATGAATATTTAAACAAAGAAAAACAATGTTTAATAAAAAAGAGTGAAAGAGGATAAACATAATTCAATAAGATGTTAAACAAAAAGAATAAGTTTAAAATAAAGAAATAAATTAATTAAGTTTCAAGGTAATACTCTTCTGCTTGTTGTTCATATGAGATTGTATCATAACATTCATCAACTGAGACTATTTATTCTGGTTCATCTATTCATTTATTCAATACAATAATTACCATATTATTTCATTAATGTTTCATGTTTTTTTTTTTGTTAATTATATCTTTTACCATTATTTCTCATGGTATTTTTATTCAAAATTATCTAATAATATTCTTATTTCTTTAATAATCAATCTTATCATTATTATTATAACTCGTATTGTTATTACTTTTATCATTCTTTCTATTCTCATTATTTTTTTTTCTTGAAACACACAATACATGTTTATTTTATTCA